TGCCACAACCTATGATGAGAGATTGGGCAGGTCTGCCTTCACGCTGAGAAGGTGAGTTGGCCACCACCAATAAATGGGGCGGAACAGGAAAGAGATCAGATTTAAGTGGTACAATCTAGTATGACGCTTTCTTGCAATATCCCCATTTGAGGAAGCATCTCTAGGGAACTTTCCTGAGGATTTTGCAGAACGTCATTTTCCCTTCCAGGATAAACTGCCTTTAGCACCTGTCAGCATAAGGAGAAGAGATACACCATTTATTTGCAATCTTATCATACTGGGGAAGGTAGGAAAAAACTATTCTCTTGGCATGCAGAGAAGGGGAAAAAAAGTCTCCAGGAAAAAACCACAACATTTTGTACTTAAGAAATGCCTGTATAGTTTGCGTGTGGAAACAGGCACTATTCCAGAATTTAGGAAACACTTGGTTTCCTCCTGAAATCATCCATCATTTGTTTTAGGCCTCTTTTTTCTGTTAGATCAGTGGGGTTCAAATATTGGCAGGCCATGAAACCTGTTCATTAAAAAACAAAATTGTAATCCCTGATCATGAGGGGTGGGGCTTCTGAATGTTAGCTGACAAGCCCTCCCCCAAAGTTTCTGCTGTATCTTAGGGACTAAGAGGAAGGAAAACCCCAAAACCAAAATCACCTCTCTGCAAGGGACCGGGGGGGGGGGAGCCTTTGCTCCTTGAATAGAGTTTTACCTTAGTCTTTTGTGGAGAATGTTTTCCCCTCCATCCCAGGGAACCCATTTCAGCCTTTGCAGGGCAGCCAGGGTTCCCTAGAACCCCATTTGAAAAACCCTGTATCAGATGTTTTAATGATCACTTTTAATTGGATATCGGCTCTTCCTGGTGCTCCAGTTTGCAAGAGAGAGAGAGAAAGGAAGAGGAAAAAAAAAAAAGGAAAATAAAGGGGCAGAGATTGCTGTAGGTAGAGTTTTACTATGATTCTTCTGGCAAAAGTTTTTAAAAGGTTCTTTGTGCAAGCTTTGTAGAAAAACTCAACCGCTCTTTTTGGGGTGCATTCCCTCCTATCATTTTACAGGGGAGAACTTAAACTGCATTTTAAAAAATGCCAGTTTATTGCTGGAACCCAACACCTTTCCTTTACCCAGAGTAACTCCATGTTATCCTCACACACTTGCAGTTCCTGGGCCAGGCACCCTAGCCAAAGATTACTGCTATTACTATTAAGCCATGAGCCTCATTTTCTTTTTTCCTTCTCGGAATTAACCCCGCTCATGGCTCTGGAGAACTTTCGCCTGCAAATTTGCGACTTGAATAGTGTGGGTGGATGTGTGGTCACCCATATATATACCCTTGGCAAACTGACTTTTAATATTGTGAAAGAGGCTACTCTGGAATTGGATCACAAGACTGATGCCTAGTACTGTAAGGGCAGGTTGAGGGAAGGAAGAAATAATAAAAGGGGAATGCAACTGTATTAAAATATAAATAAAATAGGTTTCCACACACTGCTTGCTTTTGCAGCAGGAAGGTGCGGATCGGGAATTAGCAACGTTTGAAGAAATGTTCATGCTGCAACATTATAGTGATTTACTCTGGTACCTTGTTATGTTTAGGCATCTAATGGAGGTTATTGTCCAGAAACCTGTGTAATATAAGTCTGTTATACAAGCTTATTCAACAGCACCAATTTGAGTGGGATATGCTCCCACCTTAAGAAGGCATGAAATCACTGCCTTAGCTCCAGTCTTCACATTACCCAGAAGAGTATCATCAAATTTAGGGGTTGTACTTCATCAGGCTGCTATGGTAAAGGTGAATACTCCTTCTGTGCAAAAACCTCTATGCATTTAATGAGGACCCCAAAGTACTAGTTTTATGAATACTGAGGGTTTAGGGAAACACTCAGAAATACCACCACCACCACTTTCAATTGCAGTTGAGGGGGTCTACTCTTACACTGTCATGGCTTATTTCTAACAATCCTTGGGAACTTCAAGCAAGTGAGGAGTCATCATCAAACTTCCAGCCTCTTCTCCATTTCTTCAGATTTCAGGAGGGCAGCCACGGAAGGAAAGCTAATGAAACATGTGGTGTCAAGGCAATTCAGGTGACCCTAAGAAAGGGCTTTCAAGCCCTAGCAGGTGTCTAGACGGGACAACACATTTCCCAAGTTTCACATGGCTAATCATGAAGCTCCACGGATTCTGCCCGAGACAAGATTCCTTGGCAAGAGTGCTGGCAGCCATGGAAAATATATCAGGAGTCGTGGGAAATGACTTTTCCCTAGTTAGCCTTCTGTTAAACCACCACAGTGCCTTGCAAACAGAAAAGGGAGAGGTGGGGAGATGACGGGGAGCCATGGAGAATTTCGAGCCCTATGGGGTGTTGCATGATTAAAAGCATCAGCAAGCAGTGGTGGCGGCACAGAGTAAAATAAACCTGGAAAAAAAAAAAACCTGAAACAGACATAGCAAAAGCGTGTGCTGCATTTACCAGTTTTACAGTATGCTTTTGCAAAAGACTAGCGGTCTGGACTGTTTTGCACCCACCAAACTCAGCACAGGAATGCCCCATGCGGGAGGGATAGACTCTGAGGCATTGCAAGTCCCCACCCCCAACCCCCAGAGTTTGGACAGCAAACCTAGATGACTATGTGGCTTCTGAAGATCAGTTACTGGTTAAAACTGGAGAATTTAAAAAGCCATTGTTAAGACGTAAATATCTCCTCCTTCAGTTCATTTTCTAACAGATTAGACCTCCTGACTTTTTTTAATACCCTAAAATGGTGACAGGCCTGATCCAGATTTTAAAAAACCGAACCAAACCAGTTTTTCACTCCTGCAGAAAACAAAGCGGGTTGATGAGCTCATCTGCAATACGGTTTCTACTCAGAGGCCAGCCCCCTGGGGATCAGTGGGGATAACTCCCAGGTCAGTCTCTTCAACAGCCTTCCACAAGCTGCCTTCCTTAACAGCCAAGGAAATCAATAATAGATTAGCCCTGCACATATTTATTTCACAAAATCCTAGGGTTGGAAGGAACCGACAAATCCAGTCCTCTTCATCAACCTCTCCAGCAGATGGTACGCGGCCTATCTGGAAGGAAGTCCAATTCAATTCAGTGGGGCTTAATGGCTTTCTCCTTAGGAAGGGAGTGTTGGGTTGCTGAAGAATGGAAAAGGAAGAGGCTTTGAACCGGGGATAACTGTAGCAGGAGAGAAGTTTCAAAACTAAACTGGACTTCCTTTTGGGGTGCGCTTAGCTCCAGATGCTTTCTAGGAGGAGACCTAACACTTTCTAAAGAACCGTGGCTCTCAAGGCAGTGAGCGGCACTTTCCAGCAACCCTCACCGTCAGCCATACTGCCTGGGGTTGCTGAGAGAGAGAAAGGTGTGGTTTACCCCACCTTGCCAAGGCCCCTTTTGCTCATGGTCTCCCTCTTTCTAATTCAGGCCCCCCGACTTTCACTCTTTCTGGTTAGGGATCTTCTGCTGCCGTTCCAAGTGTAGAGACGGACCTTTCTAGATTTCTATTTGGCTTGGACTGGCTACATTCTCTTCACAGTTTCAGGCAGAGTATTTCTTTTTCCCCAGTGCTTTTTTTCTGCATGAAAGCAAAGGCTATATCACAATGTTACTGCCGGAGGTGACAGCTTCTAGGCTGATCTTGGACAAGCAAAGCTGAATCAAACCTGGTTAGTATTTTGATGGGAGATCACCAGCAAATCCCTCGACTGAGGACTAGACTAATCAGAAACATCTTGGAAGAAGGCAATGGCCAAGGCTTTTCTGTTCAGATGCCAAGAATGCTCAGAGCTCAACTTAAGGAAGCTTTACTTCTGTATCTTCTGCTAAGTTATGGTTACTCCCATCTTTCTCACTGGGAGCTGTTTCTAGAACCGATAGCGCCTACGTGCCTGTTGAGAAGAAGCAGATCTGATCTGTCCCACTCATGTACCCCAAGGCAGAAGCACAGACTCAAAGCTCAGATGGCTTTAATCCCTACTCCTGTGGCAGGGGCAACTGCAGTGATTGTGGGAAATAAATTAAACGGCTATGCAGTTCACATGCTATTGTCCAGTTTGATACAGAAACACAGACCAATATTTATCCCCCACCCGTCTTTTTTTTCCTCCAAAGTAAAAGCAGCTTTCTGAAAAATCTAGTTATTGACCAAGGCCATATTTTCTGGCTTTGAAAGAGAGATCTTACGGGATAGAGTAGTTCTCTTCTCATCTAGCATTTCAAATCCCTCAAAATCTCCTTAATCTTGTTACTGCAGAGAATTGAAATACACTCTCG